TCCAGTTGTTGTTCAGCCCTTCGTTGTTGGAGTGTTCTCCGGTCCCGGCAAGCCTGATCCGTTAAATGACTGCCTGGACGACTGTGTCGGCGAGCTGAAAGACCTACTGACCTACAGGTGAACTTGGACAATGTTATGTGCGACACCCCTGTCCGATGTTTTTTGCGACAAGTTAAAGCTTACAATGGCTATTACGGGTCCGACAGAAATGTTGTTTTGTACCTTTAACAAGAACCACTGCATATGGGTAAACTTAATGCAAACCGCATGACGTTTCTGGTATGCAGTGGGCGTCTGCGTGACGACAGGTCATTCAGGTTGCGAGGACAGGAACCGCACCACAAGGGCAGGTCTCCGTTAGAAGATTTACCCATCGATATGGTGGCCTCCTTCCCACTCGACTATTTGCAACTGGTTTGCCTGGGCGTCATGCAGAATTTACTGCATATTTGGCGTCTGGGCTCCCACTGGCACTCCAACTATTTGAATACGTCTATTAAGATTCGCAGCCAATGTTTTCTGGCCGAGTTTTCACGTAAATGCAGAAAACGCGATTGTCTGGAGTTTGGGAAGGCTGCTGAATACAGGCATTTTCTACTGTGCATCGGCCATGTCATTTTAATAATAATAATAATTTCATTGAAAAGTCAAGTTGGCGAACGTACGTTTTCAGTAATTCTTCCTCAGGCCAATACAATTACATAAACGAATGAAAATGTACAAAATCAACAGTGTTTATAGATGCCTCAAGGGCTATTAAGTCACTAACACTCATCATCCCCACGCCGCCCGCATGAGAAGGTCGGCAGGTGTTAGTCGTCAGAGCTAGGGAAGGGGGGTAAGAGAGTCTTTGAGTAATGATCTTGGGTTGAGTACACGGAGTACCCATCATCGTGATTAGGGATTTGAGGCGGCATGGCTTCATCACTTGGAGTAAGCGTTGGCCACGGCAGCGTAAGCGCTTGTGTCAGAGTTTGTCTGACAGCATAACACCGGATTCACTAACCGTATAGCTACTGCCTCTGCCGTTGCTAGTATCCGTTGGCGTAGGCCTTTAGAGAAGCATGTTGGTGTCCGGTAGACAACCCGAAATGCTTTCTTGGCATCGACTCGGTGGTTCGTATCGATTAAATGCGCGAGAATAGAACTAGAAATCGACCGGGTCTCACCTCTGTCTAGCCAGGCGGGCATATGTTCACGCACCCTCTTTACCAGGCGTCTCGTTGTGCGGCCGATGTATCCTGCTCCACAGGAGCAAGTGAATGAATAAATGCACATTGATGTGGCCTCCAACGGTAGTCTGTCTTTACCTCCCAAACGTACGAGGGGAGAGTTTGTGAAGCATGCGCGCAAATTCGCCGCAGGGAATGCCCTCGTGATAGCTGTAGTTAAGCGCCGTCGGACTAGTTCGGTCTCTGCGTCTCCTCTAAAAGGCAATCTTATGAATACATCTTTCTTTTCCGCAGTCGCAACAGTCGGCTTTTCAACGCGTTCCCCAATATTTTGGAGGATAAATCTATCTGGGTATCCGTTGTCCCGAAGTGTGTTCCGCAGCTGTTGAAGTTCTTCTTCGATAGCTTCAGGTGAGCAGATGAGTCTCACTCTAGCCGCTAATCCCTGGACTTAATTCCGTTTGATGTTTAAGGGAACAAAACTTTGGAAATTAACGTATTGTCCCGTCCAGGTTTTCTTTCGGAACACCCTGCGCTGGATAGACCCATTCTCTTGCCTGTGCAGAAGGACATCGAGAAAGGCAAGTTCGTTATCTATCTCGGTCTCTGCAGTGAACTTTAGCGAGGGGTGCGCACTGTTGAACTTTTGGACAAGCTCCTCGGTATCGGTGGTACCATCAGTCAGGCAGAAGATATCGTCCACGTACCGACGGTAGAAGACGAGGCCATTAATGGTCTCTTGCAAGCTTGTTTTCCCGACTTCGCCCATAAAAACATTTGCAAGGAACGGTCCCAGTGGTGATCCCATTGCCACACCATCTAGCTGCCTGTAGATGGTGTTAGTGACTTAATAGCCCTTGAGGCATCTATAAACACTGTTGATTTTGTGCATTTTCATTTGTTCATGTAATTGTATTGGCCTGAGGAAGAATTACCGAAAACGTGCGTTCGCCAACTTGAATTTTCAACTGTAACATGGGAATATTTGCGGAATTTAGACAATAATTTAATTATTTATTTAAATAATGCCAGTTTACAGGCATTGTCAAGAGAAGCGATTTAACACAAATCCGACCAGCAGTGAAAAAAAACTCCTGAAAAAGAAAATATAGTTGACGGTGGTTTTTATGGTTTGGAGGGTTCAGGAGAAAAAAAATGCTGGCGGTAGATTTTCGACCGTCAAGAAGGGTGGAGGGGGTTGCACGGTATCGGAGATTATCTGACGTCAATTCCTTTCATTAAGTTGGGGATTGTCAAAGTAGAGGCGTTAAGGAACAGCTGGTGAAACCGGCCATAGTGTTTAGAGATCACAAACGCCATCGGTACGGTAGAGTCGATCAGTGGATTCAGCACCCATAATTTGTGGGAGCTTTTCTAAATGCAAAAATCGAGTAATAGTTCTCTTAAATAAGGGATAATTTTGCAGAGTTTTCACACTCATGGGTAGTTTATTCCAAATGCAAGTGCATTTACAGAAAAGAACCGACGATATTTAACAGTACGTGCCAGAGGCAGAAATAAGAAGACCTCACGGTGACTGTTACGTCGTGGGTGGATATGATGTATTAAAGAGGTGAGTGGGTTAAATGTGTGATTATATAAGAGTTTAAATACCAAAAATATTCCCTTTTGTAATCTGCGGGACCACAAAGAATCGAGGCCTGTAAGCCGGCAACGTTCTTGGTAAGACAAATGTCGGTGTTCCGGGGTTAAAATTCTCTTGGTAAAAAAGTGTTTAACGGATTCTACGTTTTTCCGCTCAGTAGCACGCATGAGGCTAAATGAAAACGAACAGTATTCCAGACCAGGTCTAACGTACATGTTGAAAAGGCGCATTCTTATGTCCCTAGTTTTAAAATTTCGGAGGATAAACCCGGTCGTTCTGCGTGCTTTGGAGACTATCAAGGCACAGTGGCCCGTGAGATTGAGACACTTGGAGTATGATACGCCCAGATCCTTAATAACCCCAAGCAAATTTATGGCGTGACCTTCAACACTTAGTTGAGGTTGGCGGTCGTCGCCACCCATCATGACTGAGCACTTATGCCAAGAAAGAGAAAGGCGCCATGTGCGGCACAACTGGGCGAAAGCCTGTAGATTGCTCATTAGGAGCTGAAGCGCGATGTCATGATCTGCCGGCTTATATTGATATGCAACTTTAAGACCATCGGCATACATGAAAAGCTTATCATTCTGAAATAAATCGGGTACATCATTAACGAAAAGGCAAAATAAAAGTGGGCCGAGTACATTACCCTGAATGACTCCCCCCCTCACACGTGTAGGGTTAGAGATGGTATTGGAAATGTTAACTCGTTGTGTACGAGTGCCCAGGTATGTGTATTAAAAATTCAAAAGTTTGTCACTTATTCCGAAAGAGGACAGTTTCAATAGGAGAGGAGCATGGTCATCCCGATCAAAAGCCTTGGCGAAATCGAAATATACTGTGTAAAGTGCAGAACCATTGTCCCTAGATTGGAGAATATAGTCAAAGTTAGAGAGTTGACAGGTGTCACAAGATCGGGCTTTGAGGAATCCATGCCTAGCAGCACACAGTATGTTATTTACTGTTAAGTGACACATCGTCTTTTCTTTGATCAATGTCTCTAAGATCTTCGAAACTTCGGGGAGGGTGTTTATTGGCCGAAAGTCATCAAATGATGTAGATTTTCCGTGCTTAGGAATGGGCAGAATATGTGATTCCTTCCACAAGGTAGGATAGGACTCCTCTTTAAGCGAAACCCGGTACCAACATGTTTACAGTTTTCCCTCGCAGCGCACATATTCTACCCTCCCATATTTCATGTGTCCTGGGGGAATACGTCCGGCTTCTGCTAAATCGCTTTGTTGTTGTTTTCCCCACCTTATATAGTCCTTCTGATATTATTCACAATGTCCATTGTCTGCTTCATCTTTTTGACGATGTGGCTCGGTTTGGAGTGCTGGATCCTGTTTCGCCATTTTCATTCGATTCGTTTTTACAAAGTGTCCGAAACAGCAAAAAAGAGCCTACTAACGTAGCTGCACAGGATTTCAAGCACTCTTATGAAAGACGCTTGCCTGAGGTACCAGTATGCCCAATGCTGTTGGACGAAGACGAGCGAATGGTACGGGCAGTTATAATACCTAGCGGATGCACCGCCATTTCCACGAAGCCCTTGTGTTGTCAACTGAAAATGCCGATAAAGTGGTACTTGTCGGAAAAGGACCGTGTAAACTGACAATAGTGTCGGATACCGACATAACATGCCACCCGTTCTTTGACTGTGAGGATTTCTTAACTACATCCCTTACCTTGTGGCGATTAAGGATGTGAGATCGACTTAAACCACGCACATTAAGTTCGTTTCGTCTACTGTCAAAAGTCAGGGAGCTGTGAGGACTAGTTTATTCTGTACACAGTGCAGGTTGCCGTAAGTTGTCGATTTGCTTGCAACAGGGAAAAGCGTCCGTCCACGGAGAGCGTCAGTCACGGTGTGTCTGTTGTTTACGCGGGTGTGCTTCTAGGTCAGCAGGAGGGGTGACCGGCTGAGTGTTGGTCGTGTGATTGGACAAATTAGTGGAGAAATAGGGGGCGCAAGCACACAATGCCTCATGGGTATCAAGCCAGGGCGTTAGACGCGCGTGAGGTGATGAAAGTTTGTGAGGTCAGCCGAAAGTCACTGAAGTTTGACCGGAGGTGCCTGAGTGTTAGCCGGCGGGGGTGGCTGTGTGTCAACAGCTTGTCGCGGCCATCGACCGACAAAACGCAGCCGGAGAAAAGGGGACTGGAGTGGCTGCTACAACTCCCCCCCCCCAGACACCAAACTAAATCAAGGCGTCGACATGCTAGCCAGCCACAAACCGGTCGGGCCAGTGGACGTGGCGACCAGATCGTGTGCGGCGGACCGGAGGCGGTCTGTCGCCAGTAGATGGAGGAGGACGCACTGTCTGAGGCGGGGTACAGTGTTGAGGTGAGGAATGGTCACTGTCGTCGATGTAGGCCGGCTTGACGCGATCAGTGCTGACTGTGTCGGTCTTGCCGTTGCGATCGATGACAACATCTTCGTCAGATCGACGTAGGACTCTATACGGTCCGTCATAGGGTGGTTGGAGTGGTCGTCGGACAGCGTCATGCCGAACCAAGACGAAATCGCACTTATCCAGGTCAGGAGGGATGAAGGAATTGGCCGGTGACGCCCGAGGGGGCGTTGCGCGGAGATTGCGCATGACACTACGCAGCTGCTCTACATAACTGCAAGGTTCGAAAAAAGTTCGCATTTTTGAGGGAGACACTAACTCACCGGGCAGTCGTTGGGAGGTTCCGTAGACAAGATCAGCTGCAGAGCAACCGATTTCGGCCTTGAGAGTGGAACGGAGGGACAACAGCACCAGGGGAAGATGATCAGACCATCGGGAAGGATCGGGCTGGGCCATAAAGGAATTCTTGAGCTGTTGATGGAAGCGTTCGACGAGACCATTTGCTTGAGGGTGGTACGCTGTTGTTCGGATTCGGTTGGTACCGAGAAGGCATGTGAGTTCGCGAAACATCGTGGACTCGAATTGGGATCCGCGGTCAGTGGTGACAGTCGCAGGAACTCCAAAATTGGACACCCAATGAGTCAAGAAAGCTCTTGCAGCGGTTTCGGCACTGATGTACGGAATGGGCGCAGCAACCGGCCACCGCGTAAAGCGATCAATACATGTCAGCATATAGGTAGAACCGTTTGATGGTGGCAGCGGACCTACCAGGTCAATGTGCACATGGCTGAGGCGTGCATCAGGAGTGGCGAAAGTTCCTGGCGGAGTAGTAGTATGCCGATGCGTTTTGGCTCGCTGACATGACAGACAGGATCGTGTCCAACGCCGTAAATCCCGGTTGATATTGGGCCAGATGAATCGGTCAGTGATGAGTTTCACTGTCGCCCGGACTTCAGGGTGGGATAGATTGTAAAGAGCGTTGAACACTTATCGTCGTAAAGTTGCAGGGACAAAGGGACGTTCATGTCCGGTAGAAAGATCACACGTTATGATGTCAGTGCCAGTGGGAAGGGGGACATCTTGAAGGCGTAAAGAAGAGTTCATGTGGCGGTATTGGGAGAGGTCGTCATCCGATCGCTGAGCCTCAACCATGAGTGTGAAGTCTGTGGCGTCAGTTGTGATGGAAGCCATCTCGATTCTTGAAAGAGCATAAGCAACCATATTTTCCTTACAATGGACATGTTGGATGTTGCAGGAAAACTGTGAGATGAAGTCAAGATGACGTATTTCTCGGGGCGAGTATCGATCAGGAAAGGCCCTCATTGCAAATACGAGTGACTTGTGATCTGTTAGAACAACAAATTCACGACCCTCGAGGAAATGGCGAAAGGGCCGGATGGATAGGTAGACGGCGAGCAGTTCTCGGCCGAAGACACTGTAGCGGGTCTCTGCTGGGCTAATCTTCTTCGAGAAGAAAGCCAGAGGTTTTAGAACACCACCAACAGTTTGCTGCAGTGATGCACGAACGGCGGTCCTGGAAGCATCTGTCATGAGAGTTAGTTGGGCATCAGCGCGGGGGTGGGCTAGTAGTGTTGCGCTCGCATGTGCGGCCTTGACGTCATTGAAGGACTTGACGGCCTCCTCGGTCATCACCAGTATCTTATTGGAGTGGGTCAAAAGGCTGTTGAGTGCCTGCAGTATGGTGGCACCATGGGGAAGAAAACGGTGATAGTAGTTCACCATTCCCAAGAATCGGCGTAGTTGATCGATGGTTGTCGGGACGGGGAACGTTGATATGGCCGAAACGTTTTCCGGGACGGGCTTTATCCCATCTGAGTTCACTTCGTGACCAAGGAAGATAAGACTGGGGACTCCAAACTCACATTTGGCAGCACTGATGATAACGCCGTAGGAGTCGAGTCGTTCGAAGAGTTGTCGAAGATGAACCTCGTGTTCAGCAGCGTCAGAGCTAGCCACCAGCAAATCATTAATGTAGGCGTAGACGAAGTCGAGACCTCGCAGAACCTGATCAATGAATCGCTGAAAGGTTTGGGTGGTATTCCTCAGTCCAGAGGGCATACGAGTGAATTCGAATAACCCAAAGAGAGTGGTCACTGCGGTTTTCGGCACATCACTGGCTTCGATTGGGATTTGGTGGTAGGCACGCAGAAGGTCAATCTTGGAGAATATTCGCTTACCATGTAGCGAAAGAGTGAAGTCTTGGATGTGCGGAACGGGATACTGGTCGGGGACAGTCACAGCCCGATAGTCGCCACACGGTCGCTAGTCGCCGCTCTTCTTGGGGACAAGATGGAGGGTGATGCCAGCAGCTGTCGGACTGTCGGATGATGCGGAGCTCGAGCGTGTGTTCGAACTCTGCCTTGGCAATCTTCAAACGGTCCGGAGCAAGACGACGTGGTCGGCAAGATTTGGGAGGTCCGGTGGTGGAAATATGGTGGGTGACTGTGTTTTTGATGTCCACTTCTCGAAATGAGGAGTTGGTCAGGCGGGTAAACTGCCTGGGGAGTGAGTGGAAAGGACAGTCAGAAATGAGCATAACAGTAAGAGGGTTGACGCACGGGGTCACATCGGATTGACAACAGGCATGAAGGTCGGTAATGCAGTCAACGAGTCGGCGATTATTCAAATCAACTAGAAGATTGAAGTGAGCTAGGAAATCGGCGCCTATGAGTGCGACGAAAACGTCGGCAATAATGAAAACCCATCGGAAAATTCGATGAAGGCCCAAATTAAGTGTGATGGAACGCTGTCCAAATGTGGGGATACTGGAGTTGTTGGCAGCTGTTAGACAAAAAGAGCTGTGAGTTTTTACGTTCGGCCGGAGTTGGTGGAACCACGCTAACCTCGGCACCAGAGTCGACAAGGAATTTGGCGCCAACGATACGGTCCCAGAGAAACAGACGGCGAGTGTGAAGATTGGCAACGCTTTCAGTAGCAGTGGCCTCTACTGTCTGGTGGGATCGTCTACCTGAGGCCGTAACAGATGCCTTGAAAGAGCATGGCTGAAGACATCGTCGAGCTGCTCCTCGAAATTGTTGGTGATACCAGCAGACGCTACTTGGAGATTGTGAACGGCGGGTGTGGGAAACGGAGGAAGTACGGCGACGGTTTGGTGTTCGCCGCGGGCCGTTAGTGGTAACTACAGTGAGCTGGGCTTTCAGGCGCATTAATACCTCCTCGAGCCGATCCAAGCGTACGCTAGGTCCTTGAGAATTTGAGTTGATGAGTGACTTCTAGTCTTGGGACATCGCGCTGTAGGTTGCCCGGAGATTGTTGTTGTGGACGAAAAGTTTGCGGAATTCCAGTGTTCGGAAATTAGGGTTCACCAATTTGTGGCGATCAAGGATGTGAGATCGACTTAAACCACGCACATTAAGTTCGTTTCGTCTACTGTCAAAAGTCAGGGAGCTGTGAGGACTAGTTTATTCTGTACACAGTGCAGGTTGCCGTAAGTTGTCGATTTGCTTGCAACAGGGAAAAGCGTCCGTCCACGGAGAGCGTCAGTCACGGTGTGTCTGTTGTTTACGCGGGTGTGCTTCTAGGTCAGCAGGAGGGGTGACCGGCTGAGTGTTGGTCGTGTGATTGGACAAATTAGTGGAGGAATAGGGGGCGCAAGCACACAATGCCTCATGGGTATCAAACCAGGGCGTTAGACGCGCGTGAGGTGATGAAAGTTTGTGAGGTCAGCCGAAAGTCACTGAAGTTTGACCGGAGGTGTCTGAGTGTTAGCCGGCGGGGGTCGCTGTGTGTCAACAGCTTGTCGCGGCCATCGACCGACAAAACGCAGCCGGAGAAAAGGGGACTGGCACGGCTGCTACACTCTTTTCCTTCTTGCATATGTTGAAAGCCTTCCGTTTATGAGACATTCCTTTAACTACTGCTCACTCAGACATCATTTGTTAATATCTTCGTGTCCGTTTTTTTCTGATTCTTTTACTGCACAATGTGCGTGCGCTGTGACTCTTGAATACATTGCTTATTAGAGGATGTAAAATTCCCTGTAGATGTATAATTCACTATAATTTAGTATATTTGAAGATTAGAGTCAGAGCCTTGGAAAACCCTATTTACAGATTGATGTAAGGAAAAATATGCAGACATTCAGATGACAGGTATGACAGTCATTGATATCATGCAAATGTTTGACTAGCAAGAATAAATTTATCTAGTCTTCTGTTGAAATTCTCAACGTTTTCCGCTAAGACAACGGAGTTCGGCAATTTCTTCTATCCGCCAAACAGCTGGTGGGATAAAAACTTTGCCCGCAACTCGAGTTTGGCATATTTAGTCTTCAATTTGTAATGGTGCACTCGAAGATTAGTCGTCCGCGGTGGTTTGAAGGTATCGCCAAACAGAGGAGCACAGTCCAGCCCTCGGACGATCCTGAAGGCCATGTTCATGTCCCCTCTGTACTGCCTATAAGAGAGAGTAAATATGTTTAGCTTCTCCAGCCGTCTCTCATAAGGTACACAACTGATTCCGCCGACTAGCTACGTCGCTCTTCGTTGTGCATTCTCCAGTGAGGTGTAATCTTTTTTCGTGCAGGGACACCATGCCTGAGCACAATATTCCCACATTGGTCGGACCTATGCGCCAAATACTAGCCGAAAAGTTCTTCATCAAAATTGACGAAGGATCTTATAATCGCGCCTATGATACCCATAGCTATGTTTGAAAACTGGGCGCAGTGAAACGATGGTTTGTGAGGTCTCTGAATTCCTCGCAGTTAGTGCCTCATTTTAGAGACGTCGTTGCGGTTACTCCTTCAACCGTGGGCGGCACTGTTCGCTCTAATGATCAACGCATCCTGTCAATTTCGTTTCCCGACGAGAACGTAATCTAACCTTTGCTGGCGCCGCAATCGTGGGCGAATCCCAGCTTTGATAACCTGCGTCGAAAGGAGTAGGATGTTGACGCGGAGGAGACGATGTTCTGTGAAGCTAGTGAGGTGGAGGCCATTGTTCTTGCAGAAGGTATGCCTATGAAAGGCAGCACTCTTTCCCAGACGGAGGCGCATAAGTAACTTAGATATAAAACATGTGTATCTTTAACACGGTCACCAGAAAGGTAGGCGAATTTTTGTTGAGGTTGTACCTCACCCCATACCAGTTGATAATTTCAAGAGGGAAGACATTAATCTGCGGTGGTAAGTTTGGCTCTTTAAGGAGCACGCTCTAAATAATACGACAACTGTTGTTGGTTGTTGGTTTTTTCACAAGGTTTAAATAGGTGTTAATGGATATACTGATGTTTATTTGTTCTGCCTTTAGGCGGTTGCTCCAGAAAATGTTTAGCTAATACTTCCAGTTAAAGCGTTCAAGAAGAGAATTTGCTGAAAGCAGCAATGTTTTGTTTGTGATGCGCAAGGCCTCGAGGGGTTTGTGAGTCAGCGATTGCGTCAGGTTTTCCATCGGATTATCTAATAGAGTTATCGTTCCTGGCTGCTCGACTGTTCAGACATATTTTTGCAGTCTGTGGGGTGGGGAGTGGGTCCGACGCGAAATATTGTTCGCTAGATTGTTTTGGTCGCGTTTTAAAAGTCTGCAGTCCCTTCACTGTATGCGGACAAAATAAGTCACTTTTGAAGTTAGTTTATTAAGGTAATCAGGCTTCCGCCCTTGAGCACCCTATTCATTTAGATAAACATAAGTAGAATCATTAATAACGCCAGCAAATTCTGAAATTCAAAAGTTAGCTACAAGTGAGAGCCAGGCGCAAACTGCCGCCACTAAAACAATTGTTATTAGATGTACAGTAGGTTCTCAGCAAATGTGCATCTTGTCTACACTTAAAGTATTCGACAGTTTCGCAAAGAGCTAAAGCATAAGGGAGTCCGCTCCATGTCCCAATAGCCCTGTGAGAGAAGGCGTTCCGTCGGACGCCCGAATAAACCAGTTTCCTCTGCAGTTTGGAGGGATGACCACGCAGACTATCACTCCCGGCTAATTCGAAAAATTCATCAAAGTCTTGGGCGCACTCATGGCCTCTGACAATCCTTTAGGTTTATAATTCAATAAATAATTCAGTATATATGAGGGATAGAGACAGAGCCTTGGAAAACCCTATTTAAAGATAGACGTATGAAAAAACATGCAGATATTCACATAGCAGTTATGGTTGGTATTCTTTAAACTCAGTGCTGTTTCATTCACCTGAATAGACGCACCCGAGGTCAGAGCTATGTCAGAAGACAGTCAGGATAACTCGGTTATTCTTTGTGGTTCTATAACAATAAACAGTGAGATAAGCGGAGCACAATAGAGTTAATAAGGTGGAGAATAAATTGAAAAGTGGACGTACATTCGAGGTGATAAGACGAGTAGTCAGCGAATGACGCCAAGGTGTGGTGGTCGGTTTATAAGCCAGCGGCAACAAAGAGCAATAGGCAATGGACAGGGAACAATGAACAAGGAATGACAAGAACCGACGAATAGGGATACAAAGACAAAGACAGGGCGGTGTGCGTAAATCTGGTTACTAGCAAACGGCTAGTAGCAAAGTAAAGATAAGAATAGAAATTGACATCAGGGATGTCTCACTCCCCCGCGGGTCGCGGTCTCCGAGGGCCTGAAAGCCTCACGGAGTTTCCATTTCATCCACTTCTCCTTCCAGTGGGCAAACTTGACGTATGTCCCTCCGTACATGACCTTCTGCTGTGCCAGCGGTGACTCCACGAATTAAGTTGTCCGATCCTGCCTGTACTTCTTCGATTATTGCCTTAGGCCAGACACCTCGGGGTTTGTCTGCCTCCATTAGCAGAACAAGTTGACCAATCCTGGGACTGGGATGCGTAGATTGCCACTTCCGACAGACTGCGAGTGTCGGTAGGTAGGCTCTTAACCATTTCTTCCAAAAGTTATCCGCTAGGAGTTGTGCCTGTCGCCATCTTCTATTAAATTGATTCTTTGGAATCGTACTTGGTATTGGCTCGGATGAATTACTTCTTAGTAACAGCAACTTACTCGGTGTAAGTACATACTGATCATCCGGGTCGTCACTCTGTCTTACCAACGGCCTGTCATTTAGAATTCGTTCAATTTCAGTCATAGCCGTATGTAGAACTTCATCAGTGAGGCGTTGTTCTTCTAGCACCACAAGGATAATTTGTTTGACTGTGCGAATCATTCTTTCCCATACACCACCTCTATGGCTGGCTCGAGGGGGGTTGAATACCCAGTCGCACTCACAGATCAGCAGCGATTTCGCTATTTTGTCCTGGTTCCACATTTTAAGCAGTTTCTTTATGTCGCCTTCCGCACCCTTAAAATTGCTTCCGTTGTCACTGTATAGTCGCTGTGGACACCCTCTACGTGCCACAAATCGATTGAAAGCACACAAGAACGAATCGGTATCTAAAGAGTGCGCTACTTCCAGATGCACAGCTCGAGAACTGAGGCAGGTAAACAGACAACCATATCGCTTTTCGACGGAGCGTCCCCGTTTAACGAACATCGGACCGAAATAATCAACTCCTGAAATCGTAAAGGGGTCGCAAGACTGCACAGTCGGATCGATGGGGATCGGAGCCATAGCTTGCTGGTATGGTCGAGAAAACCATCTCCGGCACTTGAGACATCTTTTCAACGAGGATTTTATCGTCTTGTTGGCCCGCAATATACAGTACCGCGTCCTTATTGTAGATAGAATATAGTTTTGTCCCATATGACCGTTCAGTTCGTGATAATGTTGGATTAGTAGATGCGTCACAAAGTGTTGGGACGGTAGAATGATCGGATGTTTAGTCTCGAGCGGTAGACAGGTGTTCTGTAGTCGTCCCCCGACGCGTAACACTCCATCCACGACGATTGGTGTAAGGCATCTTAACGAACTAGACACTTTTCGAAGAGATTTTCCTTTGGCGCCGCACCGTATAAGCGCATCATCAAAGGTACTGTTGTTCCCAAGGAGCTTCATCTCATAGGGAAATGCTTCTAATTGCACCATCCTTACAATTTCTGATGACGCTTCCCTCATTTCTGCCAATGTCAGTCTACCCTTTGGGGTTGTGTAGGAATTCCTCAAATATCCTTTATAACGAAGAATCGGGGCTACGCATCTTTGAAGTTTGTTCCACGAAGCTAAATGACTATAGCGAGCGATCACTGTGGCAGTTTGAAGTAAGCCGACACGCCCGGAGTCCGAAACGAGGTGTGTCATTACGCAAGCATTTTCTATGACCGGGAGTGATTGTTCTGTTAGAATCACCGGAAATTCAGGACCATTTTTCCAACGTTCTAGCTTATTTGTTTCGTCCGCAAAGACACCACGGGATAGCAGGTCGGTGGGATTCCGCCGGGATTCGATGTAACGCCATTCGTCTGGACTAGAGAGATCGTGTATAAGTGATAAACGATTGGAGAAGAAGGTGGGAAAACGTTTCGAAGTGTTGCGAATGCTTTGGAGCACCACAAGAGAGTCTGTCCAGTAGAATATTGTTGAAATCTTCACGCTCATTTCTGTGCGGATCAACCTGGCTATGTCAACAGCTACCACAGCTGCCATTAGCTCCAGGCGTGGTATACTAGTCGCGCGAATAGGGGCGATTCTGGCCTTAGAAAATATTAACCGAGATAGCGTTGTTTCGCTTTTGCCTCCCACGACCATGTAGGCAACTGCGCCGTAAGTGGTTTCCGAGGCGTCACTAAAGACATGGAGTTAAAAATCATAGTTTTGTTTCGCCTCATCTGGCCTGATGCATCGGGGTACGGAGAAGTGTTCAAGGTTAGGCATTGTATTTAACCACTTTCTCCACAATGTCCACTCTTCACCACATATCTCTTCGTCCCAACCTACTTTGCGTTTACATAAATTTTGCAGGACCTTTATTGCGAGTATCGTCACTGGGGTAATGTATCCCATCGGATCAAAGAAAGACGAAACATGTGAAAGTATGTTCCTCCTAGTGAACTGTTTGGTCATGGGACGCACAAAGAAGCGAAATTCGTCTCGTTCAAGGTCCCAATCCACCCCGAGTGCTAGGTGCATTGCGGGATCCCGACGACCCAGCTCTATAGGAGTAGTGGCCTGTTCCGACTCGGGTATGGACGTCATTAAAGTGACACTGTTGCTCTTCCATTTGTGCAGTTTGAAGCCCCCCTTGCATAACATTGACCTTAGCTGCTGTAAAAACCGGAGTGCCTCGTTCTCATTTCTCACACTGACCAAACAATCATCCACATAGAAGCATCTTTTCGCCTCCTCGAGGACATCTTTATCGTAGCTTTCCGCACTGTCAGTGATGGCTCTGTTTAGCGCGAAGGTTGCACAACTGGGAGAGGATGTAGCTCCAAACAAATGTACGGTCATTCGGAATTCTTTCGGTGGTTGCGATAAGTCGCCATTCGTCCACCAGAGAAATCTTAAAACGTCACGGTCTATCTCAGGCACCCGAACTTGATGGAACATCGATTCAATATCGGCCATGATGGCGACTTTCTCCTGTCTGAATCTCAAAAGTACCCCGATTAGCGCATTGGTCATATCAGGTCCGTAGAGTAGTTGATCGTTTAGGGAGATTCCGTAGAATTTAGCTGCGCAGTCAAAGACCACACGTATCCTATTTGGCTTGGCTGGGTGGAAAACGGGATGATGGGGAAGGTACCAAGAATAGGCTGCATCCTTGACCGGAACCTCTTCAGCATATCCAGACTCAATGTAGTCATTCATAGTTTTCGTGTACATTTGCAATAAGTCCTCCGATTTTACGAGCCGTTTACCGAGCAGTCGGAGGCGCTGTAAGGCGCATAGCTTGTTATTTGGAAGGAATGATGGGTGAGTTCTCCAAGGTAGGGCTAACATATAATGACCATCGCGGAAACAAAGGGTTTGGTCCATAGTCTTCAGCGCGATACGATCGTTTACAGACAGATCTTTGTCTTTGGTTGGTCCCTCGTCAATGGAGTCTTGT